CAGATAGGCTTGCAAAATGATTTGGGTAGCATATCAATTAAACAAACAATGATTGCATGAACGGAGCACAAAGACTGTTGTGCAACGCGCTCAGTTTTAGATTTATTTATTCACCCATTTAAAGCAACATCGACCATTTGGTACTGTATATGAAGCTATATTGCCTACCCAACACTAGGAGTACACTCCTAACACCTTCCAACTCTGTTATTTGTGTAAGCCACCCAGAGTCCTTGATACAGAGATGGGCGGCATATAAATTTAATAAATGAATGAATAAATAAATCTAAAACTGAGCGCGTTGCACAACAGTCTTTGTGCTCCGTTCATGCAATCATTGTTTGTTTAATTGATATGCTACCCAAATCATTTTGCAAGCCTATCTGGCATCTCTACGGCACATGTGACCCACTAAGGAAAATGCACTTGAAAAACTTGTTGGCTTTTGTTAGGCTTTGGTGTTTGGGGGTTGGGGGAAGAAGCTCTTAGTATTTTTATAAGGCTAAATGTTTATTTTAGGACTTGCACAACAATATTTATGCTTTTGCACTTCAACATAATAGCGGCAACTCTGCCGCTGCTTTGTAGCAATCATGCCATCAAAATCTGGCAGCGTAATCAGGAGTTTGCATATAATGGAATTATAGTTTGGAGTTATTTCTTTGGTGTTTTGAAATGGATGGATTCCCAGTGACTGCCTGCACAACTCCCTATAGTTTTCTTGGCAATATGTTGGGAGTAGTTTGCCATTGCCTCCTTCTGTGGTTGAGAGAAAATGACCGGGCCAAGGTCACCCAGTTGGCTTCATGCCCAAGGTGGGACTAGAATTCACGATCACCTGGTTCTTAGCCTGGTGCCTTAACCACTACACCAAACTCTGCCTCAGTTTGGGATTAAAGCACTAATGTAATCTCCAGAAAACTTTTCCTGGTTCAGCGTCTTCACTTCAAACTAAGATTACCATGTTTTTTGGAGTATAAGATGCACCTTCCCCCCACCCCAAAAGCGTGTGGAAATGTTAGTGCATCTTATACACCGAATGCAGCCATTTTTGGCCTCCCGAAGCCCTGCCCTCGCATCCCATTTTTGCGAAAAGCAAGCAAAAAGTGGGCTGTTCCCCCCCCCCCCAGAAGCAGTCTGCAGGTTTCAGCAGGGCTGGGGGAAGGCAAAAATGCCATTTTGTGAAAAACGGCCTGTTTTCTGCCTGTTTTTTTGCCAAAACGGGGGCATTTTTTGCCTTCCTTCAGCCTTGCTGAAGCCTGCAGAGTGCTCCTGAGGGCTGGGGAGGACAAAAACTTTTTTTCTTACTTACTTCTTCGAAATCTTGGTGCATCTTATAGTCTGAAAAATATGGTAAATAACAAACGAAGAAAAATACTTCACTTTGCTAGTGACTCCGGAGCTCTACCATGGTTCACCGACAAATGCGCACACAACAAATGCGTGCCGACAAAACCGCCGCGATAAAACGGCGACGTTGAAAGCACACCCACTAAGATCTTGACCTTTCAACTGGGTGGGGAAAACCGGGAAGCTTTCAGATTCGGGTTTTCCCAGATGTGCCAACATGGNCCTGTTCTTTAGCTGTTCCCTTCGTCTGGCAATTCTGCCCATGCACACACTGGGAACAGGCTCCAGCTGTTCGTCTGCCTCACTGATGTCTGACTCCGAAGGCAGCTGATCACTGGCATACAGCTCTGGCCCCCTCTCTGCTTCCGACACAGAGCCCTCATCAGAGCCTTCCCCAGACTCCAGGCCTGGCCCATCTTCCTCCTCAACCTCCCCACTCTCCGAATCTGCTGCCAGCTCCGCCGGCTGCTGGCGGGCCACAAGAGTATGCATGCGTTTTCCTGTCTGTGTAGATACAGTTCTAAAAGAAACATGATTGGTTAGCCAAAGTGAAAATGAACTGTGTGTAAATGATCCTTTCTAAAATTGCAGATGTTGAAGATGTCTGCCGCTACCATCAAATATGAAACATTCCTTTTTTTTAAAAGTCCACAGCAACTATGTTTTCCCCAAAGGAGAGACTACCCCTCCCACTCAAAAATGTGGATTTGTGATGGATACCAGGTGCCCTGGCACGCTGCCAGCATGCCTTTCTCATAACGTCTAATAGCAGAGCGTCCATTGAGGGAAATTATATGTTACACTTGGCTATTTTCCTTTCCTTCCCCCCCCCCTTTTTTTTTTGACACACCTCCTTGGTCTTCCTTTCTGCCAAGATAAGGAAGGGGGGGGGGGGAAGAGGAAATGTTATCAAAATGTATCCCCTTGCCAAGAAGAGAAGAGAAATTTCTCGTGCCTGTTCCAAGTCCTCAACCACAATAAATGGAATATATATTTAGATGGCCTCCGAAGGAAGAGCCCACTGGAATCAGGAGCACGGATCATTTCGATGGTGTGATTAAAACACAAGCACATCTTCAGCACAACAGATGGAGCCAGGACAGATTCGTTTCCTGTCTCACCCGCCAGAAAAAGAAAATTGTTCTATCGTCTGTGCCTATTTTTCTTTTCTTCTTCTTCGGGAACTCAAGGCTGCATATGTCTATGGCAGGGGCCAGCAACTTGTGGCTCTGGAGCCGCATGTGGCTCTTTCATCCCTCTGCTGTGGCTCCCTGTCACTGGTCGGCTCCACAATTGATAGGGTTAGAGCTTTTGGTTAGGACAGGTAGAGGGGAAAGGATCTCGTGCTAGGAGAAGACTATGGTGGGGGGGAACCAGACTTCCAGTTGGCAGAGGAAAGAGGATGCCTCACTATGAGGAGACTCTTTTGGAAGGAAGGAAGGGAGGGAGGAAAGAAGGAAGGAAAGAGAGAGGGAGGGAGGGAGGAAGGAAGGAAAGAACTAAAGGAGGAGGAGGAGAGGAGAAGGACTGTGAGAAGGACTCAACAACTCTGAGGTCGGTTGTTTTCTTGCAGACCTTTCATTACCTAATGAGTGCTAGAAGGGAGTAGGGTTTGTGAAAAGGAGGACGAAGAGGAGGAGGAGGAGGAAGAAGAAAAGAAGGAGAATAGAAGGAGGACTGTGGGGTCCTTGGTGCTCTCTGAGATTTTGTGGTTTTCTTGAAGATGTTTCATTACCCAACTAGGTGACATCATCAGTGCTAGAAGGGAGTGTTGTTTGCAGAGAGGAAGGAAGGAAATGGGAGGAGGAGGAGGAGGACTATGGGGTCCTTGGTGCTCTCTGAGCTTGGTGGTTTTCTTGCAGTCATTTCATTGTCAAACTAAGTAACATCATCAATGCTAGAAGGGAGTGGGGTTTGTGGAGTAAGAGGAGGAGGGATGTGGGATCTTTGGTATTCTCTGAGATGGGTGGGTCTTTTTGCAGATGTTTTATTACCCAATAGGTATCATCATCAATGCTAGAAGGATTAAAGAATATGGATATTCTACCTGTTCCAGAAACCAGTCAGGGCGGCATCCAGTCCCGTCTGTCCTTATTCGCATCTTCTTGAGTGACGCAATATCTGGAATCTCCATGATAAAAGTATCCTTTTGCCCAATTTCAAATCTGGAAGAGAAGAGACATTTGCTGAGAATTCTTGGTGCCTGGCTTGTCATCTGAGAGGCAGGACATCAACCAGATGCTTTTAAGTGCATGGGATTTAAGTGCCAAAATTCCTTAGATACAGCTTGGCCAAATTGGAGAAAGTTGGAGTACAACATAGGATAATTACTTGCATGTTGTTACTCTGAAAGATTAAAAAGTGGGCACGCCTTTGTCATTTGTCTACATCAATTTATTTCCACAGCTTTTTTTTTTTTGAAAGACTAGCTGATAACCTGGCGTTGACCACGTATTTATTTATTAGGGGGGGGGGGGAATGTCCGGACCAAACATAATTTCTAATGTTGGATTTTCCCCCTTACCAGAGGGAGTCCCCTTGTGGAGTACTGTGAAGCCATTACCATGGTAACTCCACTGCTCTATACAGTAGAAGCCATTTTAAGGGAGTACAGTAGAAGCTGTTTTAAGGCACAACAGGCTGTATCCTAACAGAACAACACCCCACCAACACCACCCCGGAAGGGTGTTAGGGGTATCTTACACCCACAGTATTTGTTTCCAGAGAGTAACTCATCTGTGTACCAAGTTTGGTTGAAATTGCTCAAGGCATTCTAGAGTTATGCTGGAACACACACATGTATGTATGTATGTATGTATGTATGTATGTATGTATGTATGTATGTATGTATGTATGTGAAGATGTAGCATCTAGCCAGATGTGGCAGAACTTCTGAAATCTAAGTAAGGTTGGACTTGGCTAGTAGTTAGATGGGAGATGATCAGGACATCCCAACTTTGATAGGGTGGGAAGACCACCCCATCTCTTTAGACAATGGGAAAATCAATTCAGTATGATTGCCCAAAACCACATAGATAGGTCCCTGAGGTCACCAGGAATTGAGTCAAAGAACTGTTAATTTGGCAACATTTAACTGGAAATACAGTACCGTAGTATGCCTGTGGGCAAACATCTAGCTAATGGTTCTTCTTTATCATTTCACTTCAGAGGTATACACAAGTGTTGTGGCCCAGCAGGAGCCGTTGGGGCTGCCGATGGACTCCGATAGCGAGGGACCCTATGAGTCAGCTCTGGAAGATGTGGAGGACCCTGGGCAGGGTTCAGACTCCGAGCAGGGACCAGAGAGGCTGGTTGGCCACCAGGAGGCGCCTGAGGCACGGAGCAGTGGTGAAGATCAAAGGGAGTTTGTCCCTGACGCCAGGCAGAGAAGGGCGGAGAAACGGAGGCAGCAATTATGGAGACACACTCATAGGAGATAATCAGGCCCAGGTGGTTGTCAGTTGGCTCCTCCCAAGAGA